TTACACAGGAAGGTTCTCGTAATGCCACCTATACCTCCCGCTCGATGCCTCAGCAAGAGGGGATATCCTGGTGATCGGGAAGCCCCTCAGGGCGACCCAGATATGGTAGACCAGTCAGGGTAGCATGAAAGCGTAACCCCAGCCCGGACGTCTAGGAAATTTTTGCAGTGATGCGCCGGGGGCCTGATGATCACGAAGGCTCCCGCAGAAGCCTGTGTTATGGCCGCATGATCCAGGAAGTATGAAGCTGAAACCCGGCTTTTCTTACCGTCTGGACATATATCGACGAGTGAAATAAACACTGCAAGTCGAGCACCCGGTTTCTGAACCCAGCAGAGGGGGTGCCCATCGAGGACCTACCCTAGAAAGGGACAGAAACACACAGGGTCCCGGGAAACACTGCAAAGAAACTAGCAGAAGGGTTATACACACAACCACCAGCTCATTAGATTAACATATATACTGTATATATTTATATATACATATATTAGACATGGATCGTACTCACCCACCATGGTTCCCGCTTCGGAGCTCTGTCCGAAGAAGCCTCTTGACCGGACCATCAGTAAGATGGTCACTATGAAGCCATAGAACCAAACAAACCTAATAGGTCCAGCATAGGAGACTATAATGCAGGAAATTTCCCACCTTACCTCGATCAGGTGGAGAGATGGTGGTTACAGGGGAATTAGGAAGGAATTAGGAAGGGCAGATGTAAGACCCCTGAAGGAAATGAGTAGATATTGAGGTATCACTCTGATCCGGACAAAAGCGCTGACGCCCTGTCTGGATCACATCCCTTAGGTCTTTTACTTACCTTCCTTTGACCAGCGATTCTTCCTACCCCTACCCGAGGGCGGGGGAGGAGCGCGAGCCGCGACACTAGCCTTCTGAGCCAGTCTCTGATCCTCAAACCGAGACGGGCTAGGACCCCTGGGTTGTTCGGGCCCAGACCTGGACTTCGTGAAGTTCGTGAAGTTGTCCTGGCTTCCCTGGCTGTTTTCCAGAAAGTCGTCCTTGGGTGCTAAGTCTTGGAGCTGTTCTGATAAGTCACAGTCTTTCTGTGATGAGCTCTGTGGGCAGGGATCAGCCGTGATGTTGTCCATGAGCAGTGGTTGTTGTGGCTGCATGGTGTTATCAGTGTCCTTGTGGGATGTGTCAACCACATGATGACTCAGGGGTGTGTGTGGTATTCAGGTTGAGTGGATTGGCACACTCTGCTGAAGGATGAGGGAGAAATAGATATTGTCCTTAAAGTCGGCATGAAACAGAAGTTGCGATTGTCTTTTCTTCTCTACTGTGACGTATATCCAAGTGAAACGGCATCTGAAATGAGAGGGCAGGACTTGATTTTGTCCTTCGGCAATTGATTGGATCGTTAGAAGTTGGGGCGGTGCCAACAAAATGGAGGCAGATCTGAGATGCCAGTTTGCAGTTAGTGGTGGGGGATTTCTCTCCACTGGATTCACCGCCGACACCCAAGCATGAATAAATGTTTTATTTACTAAGGATGACGACAACAATCAACATCATCAAGAGAGAGACACTGCCTGAATGACTGAGCGCGTCCTCCATCAAGTTAAGTCATATTCATGAAAAAAATTAGTTTGCGATGTCCTAAGAGTAATGTTGTTGTAATATCTTTTCAATGTTTAGGGGTAACGTACTCCCTCATGACTGGTGTCAGTGCTATAAAGTGAAGCATCTCACGTCACTAGCTCCGCCCTTGCGCCATAACTCGTGACCGGAAGAGAAGATGAGTCGTTTTGAGGGGGAGGGGAGGTTAACGTTTTTGATTAAAGATTACGAGGGCACATGAATTAAAAAAAAAGTTTGCGATGTCCTAAGAGTAACGTTGTCGTAATATCCTACTATCTTTTCAATGTTTAAGGGTAACGTAACTCCCTCATGACTGGTGTCAGTGCTATAAAGTGAAGCATCCAAGCACCCAAATGTCACTGATGTCACTGCAGCTGTTGGCAGTTCCAGATAGTTCCACCCTTGCGCCATAGCTCATGACCGGAAGAGCAGAGAGTCGTTTTGAGGGGGAGGGGAGGTTAACATTTTTGATTAAAGATTACGAGGGCACATGAATTAAAAAAAAAATAATGAAGTGCACGGATAAAATATTTATAATAAACACTACAGTATTCTATCAAAAAATAAGAAGTATCAATTTTGATTTCATGCCGACTTTAAGTACTCTTGCACCAAGTTTGTTGGTGTCTATGTTTGGTTTAAACAGTTGTCTATGACAAGCATTGCCACATACTGCTGCTGACAGAATGATATTTATGCATTTTGATGCTCAATGCTGCTGTTTGAAACTCTCATGTGCTTCAGGACAGAACAGACACAGATGCTGAATGTTTCATAGTGATATAAGGACGGATCTGTCTGGAGAAACAGTCACTTGCTCCTCTAATAAACACCTACAGGAGGACATTTGCTTCACAGGAGCTACGTGTTCCCCATTACATCTCATTTATTAACTCTTGTGATCAAACACAGAATTGTGTCATGTTTGGTCTCATCTGGCAGATTAAAACTGAATAGAAATGTATTGAATAGATATTGTGAATTAGTTGTGCACTCTGCTTTAAAAGTGTGCTAAATGTGTTTTTGTGATAACTTTTTGAACTGTTTATGTGACTTTGATTCAAGAATATGGAATATATGGATGGGATTTGTAATAGCAAAATTGCCTGTTCATAATTCTAGAAAATCTTTCATAATGCAAACCTATTCAAGTCTGTTAATATGTCTAGAATTACTTTTGCTGCTGAATTATCCACTAACCTAGTTTATATTATATTTTTGTCAGATCATGATTATATACAGTATATATTTTTATTTTTATTTGTATTTTTTCTTTATAACGAATTAGTCTTTATTTAGTTGATTGTGAAAGAGTGATTATCAGTTCCCAGTGTTGGGCAAGTTACTTCCAAAATGTAATACATTATATATTATGAGTTACTGTCTTTTGAAAGTAATTAGTTACATTACAATATTACTATCTCTGAATTGTAATGCGTTACACTACTTTTGAGTTACTTTCCCCAAAATATCCACAGAAGTATTATAAAATGCCAAAATGTAGTTTATTGCTGCTCATTATACATCCAGTGGAGGGTAATGTGGTAGGTCTATATAGCATAAAATTATAAAATCATATTTATATACCGGTATGTTAAACACACATAAGCACAAACCACATTATTACATTCATAAATAACACCGGTAAATAAAGCTAAATTTTATAATGTACAAACAATAAACACAATACCTAGCCTATAGGCTATATTGAACAGTTTAAGAAGAAAACAAGAATAAAAAGGCTTACTTTTCTTTGGCGTGGCCAAAGCCAGTAAAGGTACTTATTTACCTGTTTGGAAGCACTTGTTA